GCATCATCTTCTCCACGTGGAAAGCTGAAAACACGGTATCATGGGGAGCCAGGAAAGCTGTCCCTTCTCAACAAAGCCCCCCTCCTCACCCCAGCTCTGAAGGAATCTGGCTCCTTGCTTGGGGCAGAATTCTAAAAATATCCCCCCAAATCAGAAGCCATCTCCTCTCCCACCTTTTGTTAACATCATACAGAACAGACACTGCCTTGGGTTAAGGGTAAAATATGCAACACCATCCAAACGTACAAGAGAAAAATCCCACATCCCAAGTCTCACACAGCTTCTCAGCAGGAGCTGGATTACACAGAGAAAATCATTTCAATATCAAGGGATAATGGACACAGGATGGGAAACTCTTCCAGGCAAACATTGTGGTAGGAAGTGTTTGCCCTGCTCCTTTGGATGAGGGAAAGGAGAAAAAAAGATAATTAGGAGAAATATAAGGCCTTGGATTTCAGGTTTTTGAATCCATTTCTTCAACCCTCTGAGGACAATCAGCGATTTCTAAATCCAGAAGAGCACAGCAGAAGCGCTTGATTACAGAAGACCACAGCCAAGGAAGGCAGGGCAATCTGTGAATCTGTGATTTGGCTCTAAGGCTTTCATAGTCTCTCTCTCTCTCTCTCTCTCTCTCTCTCTCTCTCTCTCTCTCTCTCTGCTTTGTAGACATGCTCAGTTAAAGCTAAACCATCAAAACTCAAATGCCAGAGTCAGTATATATTACACACCAGAAGGAATGCTAGATCATATAGCTCTGTAGTTGTGTATGTGTGAGCGAGAGAGAAAGAGAGGGAGGGAGTGAGAGTGAGAGACAAAGAGAGAAAAAGGAGGGAGGGGGAAGGGAGGGAGGGAAAGAGGGAGGGAGAGAAAGTAGATGGTGCTTTACATGCCAGTGCCCTAAGAGACTTAAGAGTATCTTCACCTATTCCTGCAATACTCTGGCCTCACCTCTGGTGACTGGACTTCACTGATTTTGAAATGCCCTACATTTCTTCCCTAGAGATCCCCAGAATTTTCCAGTTCTTCATCTACTCTACTCCCATCCTAGGATCTATATTACATCTGGCGGGCAGACATAACATCGTATGCACATTCAGAGTTCTGCTATTTGAACCATCCTTGCTGACTGCTGCCCTTGGCTAGAGCCAAGTCTGGTGTTCCCCATTCCCACTGCACTGTGGCCGGCTGCTGGCAGCCATGATAGCTCCTCTCGCCTGTTCAGCCAAGCCTAGGGCCATCTGAAGCCCTGTGGTAGCCTTGGGCTGGGTGGTGGGTGCACCTTTTCCCTCCATCTAGAGAGCTGACTCCATTTTACCCATGGAGACAGGGACTATGCCTTTTAGAGACTGAGTCTGGAAAACAGCTTCATGGACTATTTATAAAGATGTTAACTGAAAAGTTTGGGAAGTCTAGAAAAAAAGATAGGTATTTCCTTTTAAATCATCTTCAAGCCCAAGATTCTTAAGAGGTATTTTAAGATACTCATGGGGCAGCTTCAGCTGCAAATGGCGGTTCTTCTAGTCAGAGAACTTGTTCTACAAATCCGCGCGAGACTTCACTGCAAGGGATGTGGATGGGGAGCCGGCGTCCCTGCTTTCTTGCCAATGCCCTGTGCTTGAGGCTGATTAAAATTTCTGCCCACTCACTGGCCTGGCAGAGGAGGAGAGTGACTGGGACTAGCTGGCCTCATTCATTCCTTCAGGGATAAGAGCTCGAGTTTCATTTCTCTACAGGGAGTACCATGGGCAGGCTTAACGTCGCTGCGATCACTGCTTTCCTAGACCTTTTTCTCAGGTTAACTTCAGTCTCAGGTCAAGTTCAATGTCAATCCTGCTCCTGGCCAACACAGCTACACAAATGGCCTGATCTTCCACTGTTGTCACCAATGGAGACCTTCAGCGTTCCCACATTTCTTACACAACTGCCAGTTTAGACGCACCTCCTATGGGTGTCATGCTTTCCGTGAGGGAAGGCTGGTGGCAGGGGGATGGGAGGACTGAGGAAGAGGCCGTGTGGTCCCCTGACACTTTATAGTCTCCTAGTGCTTTACAAAATAAAAGTGGGGATTGGTAAGTAGGCCCCAGCCTGTGATGGAGAGAAGAAAATCAGAGAAAACCTTCTATTGATGCTAGTGCTAGGCTTGGCAGCTGCCCCTGAGCAAAAATAAACTCCCTGTGGCAGTGGGACAAGATGCTGATATTGGCACCTGCCAGAGGCAGAGAGCCCAAGTCGCAGCTGTGCTGGTCAAATGAGCTTGGAGACCTTAGGGGGCTGAGGCCTCAGCAACCATTAGCAGGCTGTGGTGCTCTGCAGGCAGTTTATTGAAAGAGGGTTTGCATGCCTTCCCCACCCCTCTGGGCTGGGTCTCAGAACAATCAGAGATGCAGGTGGCACAGCTCATCCCACAGCCACCCCCTCGCCTCCCAGCGGCCCCTTGGAAGTTGTAGACGCTCATCAGAAAGCTCTGGGTGCAACACAAACATGTCTAATGTGGAGGCATCGGTCCCCAGGGCAACCTGAAGCAGAGGGCACTCAGGAGGTGAGGAAGATGAACTTCCGCCTTGAAGATTGCTGCCATCTTTAGATAGTTTGGGGATGATTTCCGCAACAGAACGTGAACGAATAGCATTCATGTTATAAACAGAATGGATAACATTCTATTTAGAGTGATGAGGATGTAGAATGGTTGGGAAGGGACCCTTCTAAATATATAGGCAAGGAAGGACAAGGTGGGGCTGGAGGCCTCAATAATCAGTGCACCAGAGATCTCAATGAGCCAGTACCTCACAATATCTGTCCTAGGGACCTGACATACCCCACAGAATACCTGCTGGGAAGGACGTGGTGGCAAAGCCCTCAGATGGAAGGCCTCTGCACTGAGCGATGGTTTTCAGCCAGATGTATACATGAGATTTTTGTCTCTGGAGAAAAGTGCAGCTTGTAAGGGTTTCCAACCGAATCCCCAGCTGTTTTATCTAAGAATTTCTACCTCCCCCAAAATGTCCTTCTTTGGTCATCCAGATGTTAGCTCTGGTTTCCTTCATATAAAGGAAAGACCCCCCTAGTTCAAGGAGTGCTGGATGTTTTGGTAGAATTGTTCTACTTTACCGGTAGGGAATTGAGGACTGCGCATGCCCCACTAGTTACAGCACATGGCCTCTGGTTGCACCTTGAGTTTGCTTCATCTCTGCAAACTCTCCAAGCTCAGTGCAGATGGGCCTTCTGCTATGAGGCCTGGGCCAGGGGCCATTCACTCCCATCTGTTGCCGTGGCTTATAGTTTCCCTCGCAAACATGGCGCTCTCATGGTCTCCTCTGCTTCAGCAGAGAGCAGACGCAAAAGCCACAGAGATCATGGGGGTTTGAGTCCAGGAGACTCAGAACAGCACTGAAAGAGTATTAGAAAATGTGCATCCATTTAAGCAGCTCTTTTCTGGCTCATGGTTTATGGACTCAAACAAGTCGTGCATGTCTAACTACATGAATGAAAACTTATTTTCCAAAAGACAGCTCCTCTGTGGCCACTGTTCTGTAAATAATAACCGAAGTACATTTATGCCAGATTCTGAGGAAAAGATTTGCTAATTATATACACTCTCTTTGTCTTCAATGTCTTGTCTCAAACATTTGATACAGCCATGCTTTGCTTTCCCACTTTCCTCCTTCCTCAGATGGAGTATTTATGAGTATCTAAGGGACAAAGAGGCAACCCACAAGTGGGGTGCAGTGGGGTGCAGCTAGGGGTGATCCATCCTTGGAGTGTATGCATGATTGGGACAGTCCAATCACAGACCAATCACAGACCAATCAAAACCACCACAGCTGTGGATGAGCCCTTCCTTCCCTTTACTCGATGACCAAAGACATTCAAAAACAACAACAAACCACTACACAATGGAAACCAGAACTCTATCACACTCTCTGCGATACTTAATGAAAAATAATTTGTGTCCTTCTCAACATTACTTTTTCTCCTAGAGGCTGGGAGCAATCTGATATGTGAAAAATAAATACTCAATGGGCATTCTGAATCCTCTTTCCCTATTGTGCACCTCATACCTCATGTGCTCTATTAAAAAGATAAACACACATTGGTCAAAAAGTATTTGAGACCAAAATGAATGTGCTTCTCATCAGTGTGGCATTATTGCCTTTTCTCCCTTTCAAAGTAGTGTAGGGTGAGATTTGATCTGAGAGCCATGGACATACTTTTAGCTAAGTCAACTACTATTAGATCCTTCCTTCAAGAGAATCCCTTCTCAGTGGACCATCCCTGTGTTTGTGACACCAAAATACAGGGAGTGAATGACAGTAGGTAATGAGTCACTTTTGCTTGTAAATACTCCAAGAAGAAGTTACCTGGGTGAAAGACTGTACTCACTCACTTGCCTCAAACCTGGGACAAGTGACTTTGTTTGGGGGGTCACTATGAACAATTAAGATCACACCCAATGACAGGACCACTTGCTTGACTTGGTTTCATAAACACAAATCCATCCCCATGTTTACTTAGTAACTTATTTATGAATTGAGGATGTGGTAACTTAAATATAGTTTTATCCACTTAAAAAACACCCCAAAACAACCGAGAATCTTTGTTAGTGATGGAACGTTTCAAAGTTGAATCTGTGTGCTCTATATCCACGCGCTCTTCGCTGAAGGCTGCCCTTGTTAGCCTCGGCAACCCATCTTCCTCTCTGGTCATCTGAAGCTAATTAAAGCTGCTGTGCACTGCAGAAGTAATCAATAGCTTTCTACGGTGGATCACCTCGAATCAGACCACTGTGCAATTAGTCCGCTGGAGATACTCCGAGATACCTTAATTAAAACAAAATATGCTCTGTAAGAGATATCTTCTCAGAGATGACTGGCATTCCAAATGTTTTGACACATTTAATGTGTTTATTCAAAGTAAGAGCCTTTATGGAGCTTTTCACTAATCAAATACAGTCGTGTGTTTGACGCGTTTCTCATGAAAACATTTTTAAAGTGGAAAACATCGGTAGTGAGTATTTCACAGTTGTGTTTATTAACATTTGGGTATAAATGTACTTCAAATACTGGAAGAACTAAAAGCCTGGGTCTTTCTCTAAGAGTTCATAGATTCCTCCTTTTTCCCTCCCCAGAGATCTTCCAAGATAAACCTCAGCAGGCAAGGGGAGTTTGTCCATCACGTGCACGGAGATCTTCACTCCAGCCCTGAACACGTGGCAAGAAGGCTCGTGTTTCCAAAACCCTACGGAGGGAGACCCTCTCCTCTTCTTTGTTCAGTGTGGGACAAACTCAGTGCCCCACCCCACCATTGCATAGACTATTGGTGACAATCCTGAATCTCACAATCTAAAACCAGACCTCAAGTGCACTCTAGGGTCTGTGCAGTTAAGAATGAGAGCAAAGGGAGATGGTATGCAGCTAATAAAGCCAGATGGCTTATCCAAGTCCTGAGTACCCCATTCTGTGTATCTAGGTCAATCCACTTGCATCCCCAGACCTCATGCCAACCTTCTCCATCCAGAAACCTTCTTCGTTGCCTTCTGCAGTCACAGCCTGGCCATCATGGAAGGCCCAGAACAAGAAACAGGCGGATTCTTGTCGATCTGTAGACCAAACTGCTCTAAAGAGTGGCCACAAGCCTAGGCCAGGCACCCCTTAGGAAAGCAACCGTGTACTACGTGTAGCAGGGATCAACTGTGAATGACTAGGTAGCACATGCCCACCCCAGCCCCTCTCCCCTGCCCCTTGTCTCAACCAAAGCTGCCTGTGGCAGGTAACACAGGAACGAAGGTACTGAGTTGTCAACTGGCCAGAGTGCCTTTAGACTGCAGAGCCTTCACAAGCGGCCGCCAGTTCCACACCTACACACAGTTGCATTTCAAGACATGATAAAAGACAGTGCCCGGTCGCTCTGTGTCCTCCCTGTCTGTCCACACAAAGCGATGCAGCGCTTTCTGCTGGCACACAGAGGCTCCTCAGGGGCTATGCTTGAAGAGCTGTATTTGTGAAGTTAATATTGGAGCCAGAGCTACTTATGAGAGGAAAACAAGCTCTACATATTTTGTATTAAACCAGTAAAAAAAATGAAGATACCATCATTACTTTCAAAGTATAGAAAGCCAATAGTTGAAATGGAGTAGTAAAAATTGTTTCCCCTACATATAACTTCGTAAGTGTAAAGAGCATGACAATTAGACTTCAGCTACTCACAACTCCTGTTGGTTAGAGAAGGGCTTCTCGCTCAGGTAGGGCTCAGGAAAACTGTCAACCGATGAACAGGTCTCTATTTGACTAAGATAGACTACGCTTGGATATGGCAGGTGGTGCTTCTGTTCTGTTTTGTAGGAGGGCACGCAGAGCTGTTTATAGTACATAAACATTAACGTGGAAAATACACGTAGAAAGGTGAACATTAGTACAAGCTTTTTCCACAAAGTCCAGGAGAACTTTCTTCACTTCGTGGATAAAAAAAAACAACAACAACAAAGCTTGTAATTCACATTAGGTTACAGTTTACATAATTACAAATCAAAGCCCATTATACAAGTTATGGAAGAATCTTTAGAAATACTAATTCTTTAACTAATAAAGGCCAGAGTTAAAACTGTTAAAATCATCATCACATCCCATGATCATCATCTTCACCACCATCATCATTATTTAAAAAACAAAAACAAAAACATGGCCCTGGTCTGCTTTACACTCTGATTTACAAATCATTTCCTTAAAACACAGCATGCCCCACAGCCTTGTTGAGTCTGGAATGTAGCCCTACCTCAGCTTTTCCACAGAAGCCCCTAAGATCACAAGAAGCTTTCTTTCAAAACAAAACAAAAAAAAGTTCCAGTTAGATGAAACTGTTTCTCAACTGAGCTCCTAAAACTGGATTTTCAGATATACAAGAGGACAGGAAACAGATTACTTGGTTTTTGTCTTTTTTTTTTTTTTTTACATGTCCATACTGTGTTTCCAATGCAGCTACGATGTTTCCGCCCAGGATAAAGATAATAGGGTGGACAGAGCGGTTACCACCAGAACCAGCAGTGAGCTCAGACCACAGCCAGGAGTAGCAGCCATCGATTTTGTGGTTATGTGGCTGGAAGCACCAGCGAGGCCATCCTTTTCATAATCGCGCTGGAAGGGGGGAAAAATGTTTCCATTGTCATCGCTTGCACATAGCCTCTCCATCGCAGTGTATTCAACTCGCCCACCCCACTCCCTCCCCAAAGCTGGCTCAAGATTTTTTTTTACCACTGAGACATGAACTCACCGACTCACAGTCTTACGAGAAGGAACAATGAACTTAAGTGAGACCCAGTCTTTTGGATATATTGTCTGGCCATTACTTGCTGCTTACTCCTTCATCATAGATGATTAAACCCACCTTTTTTGGTGGGGGGAATTATTGGGCTTGGGTATCCCCTGCTCTTCTTTCTCTTTCCACAGATGTGCACCATGGAAGACCTCTCACTGGCCGAGAGGGTATTCTCCTGTTCTCTTCCCACCATGGGAGGAGGTCAGGAGCAACTACCTCAGAAAGCTTGTCCAGTCAAAGAACACAGAGCTCATGTGGCGATGAGTTCGTCAGTCATTGTTCCCTGCATGTGTCACCAGATCCACAACTGACTGTGTGAATAAAGACCCAGAAAGAGAAAGGGGGCTCTGTCCAGCTCTTCAAGGGGCAGTCTCATCCAGAAACCAGGCTGAAGGCTCCCCAGCTGCATGACTGGCCTGCCCCATGATGGACTTCTCTACTCCTTCACCACACTGGCTGACTCTCTACTCCTGGAAGTGCAGAGAGGGACAGTGCAGGGCACAACTCACCATCTCACCAACTGTGAACTGGGGAGCGGGCTGCGCCCACCTCATCCACCTGTGGTTCACGGGGACGTCAGAGCTGCTACAGAGAGGGCACTGGCAGTCAGCAGAGACTTCCGCTGCGCATGTTCTCAGTGCTGGGTGATTTTTACATGACTGTGCTCACAGAGCCCAAGTGGGCTTAGGGCCTGCTTGGCTCCTTGACGGAATTCCCCAGTTTCACATTTCTAACATCTGTGCACTGAATTCAAATTGCACCTTTCTCCAAAACCAAATAGATAGAGAGGGTGTTTGGCTTTCTTCTGCTCTTGAAACTTATTGCCTTTGAGCCTTGAATGACATCCTATCTTCCCTCAGGGCCTCAAAGCTATGTCTCTATAAAGACAGGAAACCTCCTTCCCCCCACCAAAAAAATTAAAACATCACTTACATCAGAGAGACAGAGGTGTGTACTGCCAGACATGTTGGATTTCAGCTTCTGTGCCTGCAGAGAGACAAGGGGGAAAAAAGCTCATACACAACAGTGAAGAGTGATTACTGATGGTCATTAATCAGCGGTGTGAGGCTCTGCCAGCCAATAAATATGGGAGCTGTGACTGAGCTCCTCTGTAATTTACAGTATTCTAGTAGTCACCTAATAGAGAGATAACAGGTGAAGTCAATTTTAATAATATATTTTATTTAACCTACCATAGTGCCATCTCAACAGGTAATCAATATAAAAAATTAATGAGATACTTTCATATTCTTTTCTTCCTCCCTCCTCCCCCACCCCCATACAAAGTCAGAATCTGGTGTTTGCCATGGCATGTCTCCATTCAGACCTGCTGCATCTTAAGGTTCAGTAGCAGCTACCTGTCACTCAGGCTCCAGTGGAGACACAGAGGGCAGGACGAGGTTATGAAAGAAACAGTTCAAAAAGAGGGGACCCCATTTCTATTTCAGAATGCTAATTTTGAGGAAGCACTTCCTTCTGCTTACAAACGTGGCAGTACAAATCCCCACAGCTTGGTAATATAGACAGAGTCTCCGGGAAGCTTGTTTGTTTGTTCATGTGTGTATTCATTGCTCCAGGCAACACATAGTACCCGATGGAGCTCCTACTGTTTCCCAAATGTGGGCACATGGTGGGGAAAGAAAGGAGTGGTCCTTTGGATCTGAGAGCTCCCTGCTAATGAGAAAACCATTCTTGGATGGTGAGCGGGTGGGGGAGGGGTGAGGGGGTAAGACGCAGAGCATGACTCAGATTAGCACCCTCGAGGAGTCAGTCTAGCTAATTTAAAAACTGCTTCTGGGGGGTTGTGAGGGAGTTGAGCTGTGAAGCTGTATGCTTCCTGAGCGGACCAACTCTCTGGGGCTTCTCTGTGCAAACGACCTGCCCAGTACAACACTCTTGTGTTGCACAATGTACAGCAGAGAAGTGACTGGTCCAGAGTCGCATGGCAACTGGCTTGCAGAGCCAGGATGTAACAAAAACCTCTGGTAGATGAACTCTTTCTGGCATCACAGTGTTTCTCCCTGTCTCGCCTGCAAATCCACACAAAGAACTCAATACTCCCATCATGCCGCTAGTCACAGCAGCCTTATGTTTCCAATAGAGAGAAAGCTCCCCTGCCCATAAAGTGAGCCCGGCAGGCATCACCCCTGAATCAAGGACTATCGGAGTGACTGGCTGGCTCAGAGTGCCTGGTGCTGGCAGGGTGCCTGCCTGCTGTGGTGCTCTGCAACTCGCTGAAGACATGCTAGGTTGAAATGATGGCATGCTCACTCAGAAGAGTAATTTATTGACCATAATGCCACTTGGAAGGCATCATAATCTTTACCTATATTTGCATATGCCAACTGTGAATATAAAATAGAAACCTTTAAGCAGGCTTTGAGAATAAGGTACTGAGAAGCATTCTGGTTGTTCAAAGGTCACTAAATGTTACATATAAGAAGATCAGAGGGGAAATTGGGAGAAGAATCGAATTCATTTGACTTTCAATCTACATTAAGTGCAAATCCGGCCCATTGCATTGTTACCTATAGAGAATAACATGTAGAAATTCACATGTTTTGCTCCTATTGGAGGTTGGAATTGAGCCCAGACATTCAAATAGTGCCTAACTATCTTATTCAGCTTACTCTTTTCCTAAGCCATAATGTACAAAAGACCAAACCTCCTGCTGAGGGTCTTTGCATAACTGGTATGTTCACCAAATTGCACACAGAAGGCAGCAGGCCCTCTGGACTGAGGACAACATGCCTTCAGCCCTCAAGTGGTTCATACGCCTATGGTCACAGCTAAGCTGAACCTTGGTGTCCTGGACCATGGTAGTCTCTGGGGGTTATTGAAGTAGGCAGATCTCTCCCTGCATATTTTATATGCAGAAGGCTTTGCTCGTTGCTCACTGTTCATTACCAGTTGTACTTCCCTCTACCGCAGGAACCTGAGACAGCACTACAAGAACCTGGTCATAAAGGAGTGATTGCAACAGCTGCACTTGAAAAGGCCCGTCCTCCCAAACATTCTTACATAGCCTCGGGCTGTAGCTCTACATCTCTGGCCCTTGTGAACCATTGAGCATCTGTCTCAGGCTTCATTCAGCATTTCTAAGTCTCCCAGAAGGTTGACACACCCAGACATAAGCTGTGAACATGTGGCATGTACCCTCCTGCTGGGAAGGGCCAAAGTCAACCAGTCATACAAGAAAAATGTATTTAGACCAGCTCCAAGTATATGACAGGCCTGTCAGTCACTGGTGTTACCAGAGCTCATGTGGCCTGAGGACTATCCTGGTGGATATTACTGAATAAGCTGCTCAGTCCAGTGAGAGTGTGCAGCCAGACCCCTCTGATATGGAGTGAAAGCTCTTTTCCTGCTCACCACCTTCCCGACCTCACACCCAGACAAGGTGGACAGTGCACACGCAAGCCTCCGAACACTGCTTCTAGAAAGAATTAAAGAAGCTTCCTTCAGAGAGCTCAGGGTCCCGGGAAGCCACTCACCATGAGTGCTGAGTAGAGGGATCAGAATAGCGCCCGGGGTCTCCCTAACCTATCAAAAGTCACTGTATTGTCTGTGATGCTAACTAGAAGAGGAGAAGGTGATATTATCAGCTATAGGAATGGCACATGACACATAATAAAGGGAGCAAAGGATTGCACACAGGTATAAGATCTTACTAAAACCTTCACCTGGTAAGACGCACACCATAGTGGGTCTATGCCTAAACTGGAGGGCATCAACTCCAAGAAATAGCATCCTAAAAATGTGCAGGTGGAGGGGCAGAACTGGGCTTCTGAGCTGTAATGGCTAGTTACATGTTTAGTAGTTTGTGTGCCATGTGAACCCCAGAGACTACTGAAGGTCAGAAACCTACTTCTGCAGATGAAGAGTATTTAAGAAAGAAAATCTGGGTCTTAAAGCTAACTCTAGAAGCTGGAGAAACCTGTTATTTCCACATTTTAAAGGCATTTATCCCCAGTATTTTTGAAAATACTATCAAGCAATCACTGTCTTGCTAGTCAGGTGTGATAAGTAGAAATAGATAAAATTACAGGGTGTAACACCCCCACTCCCAACCCCTTCAATGACTGCAGAGTACTTACCTACTTTAAATGTTGTCTCATTTGCTGAAAACTAGGATGGTTCCAGGAAAATTAAAAGGAAAAAAAAAACACTTCAACAACATCTGAGACTCTATAGGGAGTAAGGAAAATTAGCGATTGGAAGAGTAGCTTTCATTGCTGCGTTACAAACCAGGAAAGCCAACCCTGTGTCACAGACCTGTGAGCATGGGGTGTGAAGCCTTTTCCGTGAACACTCGGTCCTGCTGATGACAGGACATGCAGGCTTCTGATACAGAGATTAGCAGGCTGTCTCTACCTGGACCCCAAACCTTACAGTTGGTTTTCTCAAAATGTGATATATGTTTTATTAAAGAGATTAAAAAAACTACATTCACTGATCTAAGTCAACATGAATCAGGTGATTTAAGCAGCCAACACAAATACATAAAAATAGTGTGTTTAATTTCTTTTATGAAAGAGTCTTTCTTAGCAGCTAATTTACAGTTGTGTAGTTCAGGAGAAATTGCCTGAATCTGTGTTGGAGAAACATCACCTCCAATATAGGACTTTGAGATTTGTTTCTTGAGAATGGGAAAAGGCAAAGAAAGCATGCTTGAGGAGCTCATGCTCACGTCTGTCTTCCTACATTCTCATTCTGAAAAACTAGCAAAATCTTCTTTAGGCTCTTCATAATGCCTTTTCCATCCAGCTAGCTGTTGCTTTCCTGTTATGAAATTGTCACTGGTGGAAATCTGCAAGTCTAGGCACGTCACATAATAGAATTTCCAGGGCACTGTAATTGTGAGGCCAGACCTCACCAGTCCCTGGCACCAGAGGGTTAATAAATGCATTAGACGCTGTTAACCTCTACTACCTGGAGTCAGTGGGGCCTTGCTGCCTTTTACCCCAGCAATTAGCATTTGGAAAACCAGTCTTGGTGCCAATGGCTTTCCTGTGCAGAACACACAGGCACACACATAATTTATGGCCACAGTCCGATCCCCACAGGATTTTTCCCACAGTAGGCTCTCTAGGGCTGTGGGGACCAGTCAGATTTGGGAGCAGTATGTTTGCTCTGCTTATGGAACTGGAGACTTAAAAGCACACCTGTGCAGAGCTTGGCCTGAGGACTCCATTTCTGTAGAAGCTGGTGTTTAATCTGGGGATTTTAGGCAGCTGTCGGCTAGCAGGAGCAAGGTGCTCAACCTTTCCATGCTTTCATGCTTTCCTCCATGCAGAAGCAAAGCTGTTCTCTGCTCTACCCCCAGAAAATAAAATCAGAGGAAGCTTCCCAATCCAATAGCAACAGACTGTCCAGGCTGAGGCCAAATCGTCATAATTAATGATGCTCTGGTTCTTTTCTCCCTTGCTTTACTGATTAGAGAGATTTGCTATATTAGGAACCTGTTTGCTTAATGACAGAATACAAGCAATAAACAGAGAAATACAGAGACTGTAAAATGCAATCAACTCTGCTCTCCAGCACCCACTAACTACTAGGCTGCATCTATCATGCTTGTCAATACCAGTTTGTTAGCATATGAGACTTCTGTTACAGAAATTGAGGACTTTTGCTAGGGAAAACCATTGCATGAATTCTTTCCAAAAGAATCCAGATGAAAGCACCCAAAACTTGAAGAAGCCATTTCTCAATATAGATGTACATTAATGTAAGCAAGCACCTGTGGCTCACACCTGTTATCCTAGCTAGTCAAGAGGCTGAGATCTGAGGATTGCAGATTTTCAAGCTGAAAAGCCTAAGAGACTCTTATCTCTAACTAACCACCAAAACCGTGAAGAGAAGCCATGGCTCAAGTGGTAGGGTGACAGCCTGGAGTGAAACAAGTAAGAGACAGCACACAGGCCCTGAGATCAAGCTCTAGTACCAGCACTCACATACAGAAAGGTACATGAATCTGATGTTCTCCT